TTAGCATTTGTCACTCTTAGTGGCATTGATTTCAGTTTTGAAACGAAATTTTGTTTCAAGCCCCATTTTGTAAAAACATTTCTGTACTGTTTTTTGAAACTCTAGCATTCTATATAATAATCAGATTTGTTTAATAGGAGCCCCAGTGACTACTCTGACAGTATAACTATCGTCTGCTGTTTTCATATTGCTGATTCTCACACTGTGAATTCCTTACGTATAAGAATGACTTGGGAAACTTGTCTGATTTAAGACCAAGCATAATTACTATTGAGAACAATAAAGGGCAGAATGTCCCATTTTTTACTAAAATGTACATATACTGTTGAACAGAGTGTTAAATTTGCATGCAAGGTTATAGGTAGGTGTACAACAAAGCATGTGTTGTAGGGAATAAAATAAGCTAAAATAGGGAAGCAAGTTCATAAGTAAACATTCAGCTGGAGATCTAATTTTGGATTACCTGTGTTAAATTATTTTCCTTAGATAAAGATAATTGATTACATCAAGTTTTGGGAACTTCTAAGATGGCGTAAATATGTACATTGAAATTGCATATAATTATTTTGCGTTTAATGTCTGAAGGTAGTTGCAGTATAAATTTTCAGATCTTCATGAGCAACCTTGTAACTGTACCAACATACCGATTGTAAATGTATTTCTGGAGCAGAAAGAAACTAAACAATGATCGGGCCTGTGTTTTTCTAAGAATAAAGAAACAGATTTCTGGGATGAGTTGTGAGTTTATAATATGGAATTTATACGTTTTGGACATTTTTTAGGATAACCTTTTGATATTTATTTCTGATCAGTCGGTGTTAATGGGGAGACTGCATTTCTACTCTTGTAGTTTATGCTTTTCTGTATCTCAGAATCCCTCAAATCATGGACAGCCAAGTTGAAATTATGAAGGGATTTTGTAAGGAACTAGGGATTTTAAGCCTGAATAAATTTTAAAAGGCTAATCTGGTTTTTAAAAAAGGGGAATTTCCTTATTCAGCATACTTCCAGATGGAAGAAGATGGGTCAAAGGATAGAAGTTACACAGAGAGAAATCTTTTATTAAGTTTCAGGAAGACCTTGCTAATAACCTGTACACAACAGTGAATGAGTTGTCAAAGGGATGTGTAGTGAGTGTTCTGTCCTGGACATTCTTAAACAGAGGTTAGGACTTGTCAGGGATCTTATATAAGGGGAGAGGAAAACCTTCACTAAACCAGCACTAAATGGCTATTCACATACGAGCATCTATAAATCTTATTTCTTCTCCATTCTTGATCTTGTTTACAAAGTGCAATGCCTGCCGTGGCATTAGGTTAACAATTGTATTGATGATTAAGTGCTGACATGAAGTTTAACTCAGTCCCTCTTCTCTTATTTTAATTGCATTTTGATCCAGCAGTCACTGTGATTGTGTTCGCCTTCTTAGCAATGTTACTGTGCCTTTTTTGTAAAGGAAGGAATATATAGGGGGCTTTTGGAAAGCAGTGGCTCCTTGCACCAGCATTGTAGAACACCTACTCTATGCAAGCATCAGAGGCAAGGGGTAGGGTGTCAGAATTCATCATGTCTGTGTTCCCTTGTGTCTTTCCTTTTGTCCTTTGATCTCTGTAGCCCTGGAGTGCTGATGGCTCATAGTGCTGAGATGGGGAGTGCTGGCCAATCAGAAATAAGTAACCAAAAATTATTCTAACAAATGACCAGAAAAATATAAATTGCATTGTATTATAATTCAAAGCTCATCACAGGAAAAAAAAAGTATATGAGTCGAATAAGCACTGTCCTTTGCAAGTTGTGTATGGCTTAATTCAGGCTAGTAGCAATGTCCTTTTGACTATAACCTGGGCTTGACCATAATTCTTAGCAAGGGTTACATATATTTTTTAAAGAATGAGGTTAGTGACATACCCTTATGCTAGTATGCTATTAGATCAATTTCCCAAATGAAGCTCATAATCAAGAAGGAAGTAATAGCAGAAAAGATAAAGTAAATTAAAAAAAAGCATTAGAAATAAACGAGACTATAAAAACAAAGCAGTCTCTGGGTGGTGCAAATGGTTACCACACTCAGCTGCTAACTGAAAGGTTGGAGGTTCGATCCACTCAGAGGCACCTCGAAAGAAAGCCCTGTCAGTCTGTTTCCAAAAAATGAGCCATTGAAAACCCTATGGAGAACAGTTCTACTCTGACATGCATGGGGTCACCATGAGTCAGAGTCAACTCCACAGCATCTGGTTTTGGGTAAAAACAAGGTCCATTTGTTCCTATTTTGCAGGATAAAAAAAACCAAAAAACCAAACGTGTTGCTGTCAAGTCGATTCCAACTCATAGCTAGGTCTTATTTCTTGACTAAAGTATATTAATATGTAACATTTTCAGTTGCAAATATAATTTTACTGGACCATGTGTTTTGGGCCATATGCAATCCATCCATAAAAATACATGGGGCAGCCTTGTTGCTTGCCTGACATCTTGCAGCCTGCTTATGTAGCCTGCCCATTTCTATATTTTAATCCCTAATGTATGAGTGGTGAGATGTCATCAGAGTTTAATTTTTTTTCTAAACACTCTATGAATTTTAAATCATTTCTTCCTAAGAATGACTAACTTGGGCATGCTGATGATAAAAGAACTGCTGTTGCCAACATGTGTCACGTGGCTCTGCTCCTTTTTGTCCCAGTGGTGTTGGCAACAGACACAACTGCCATGAAGGTCAGAGCCCTCCTGAGCACTCGACTGGCCCCGGTATTTGAGGCCACATCAGCTATTTCTGGTTTAAAACCTCCTCTTTAGACTCCCTCAGACTCTGTTTAAAAACTGGCATAAAAGCAAAATTACCCAGGGCCCCTACCCAATGAGATGCTTTCCTTGCTCTAGAAATGCTCAGCTGAACTGAGGCTAACCCCACGTCTGGCCCCCAAACATGGAATAAGTATCATGCAGGTACAGAACAAACCAGACTCCATTTTTAAATGTATATGCTTTATACTGTTCCCCGTCAACATATGGACTTCAAAATCAGTAGTTGTGAGTATGGGATTTTTAGGCTCTATTATAAATAAACAGCAGCAATTTAATATAATGTGTACAGTAAGCTCTTTCTATACTTAAGATAAGGATCCCTGGTGGCGCAATGCTTAAGTGCTTCTCTGCTAACCGAAAGATCGTCGGTTCAAACCCACCAGCTACTCCACGGGAGAAAGATGTGGCACTCCGCTTCTGTAAAGATTACAGCCTTGGAAACTCTATGGGGCAGTTCTACTCTGTCCTGTGGGGTTGCTATGAGTTGGAATCAACTCAATGGCAATAGGTTTGGTTTCTTAGTTTTTATACTCAAGGCAAGGAGCCCTGGTGGCACAACAGATAAGTGCTCAGCTGCTAATTGAAAGGTTGGCAGTGGGAACCCAACCAGCAGCTCCAAGAGAAAGACCTCGCTATCTTCTCCTATGAAGATTATAGCCTAGAAAACCCTGTGGGGTAGTTCTACTCTGTCGCATGGGATTGCTACAAGTCGAAAATCGACTTGATGGTACCCAACCACAACAACAAATGGTCAAGGCGTTTATAGTGTGTGGAAAACAAGTCTGATAAACACTTCACCGTGGAGGGTTCTCTTGTCAACTGTTGTTTTGGGGGAGGGATAATAAAGTCTGCTGTTTCTGTTAGGGCACTGCCTTATAACATCTGGTAGGGGAACTGCTCCATGAAACACATGGGATTAAAGTCATCCCTCCAGGGGTTCTGTGGCATAAGAACTGAAGCAGTGGGGTGATGTAGCAACTTGTAACATGCCACAGCAGCTGAATGGGAGTAAAGGACGCTGTGGTTTTCAACCCTTCTTCCCTCTGATTGACTGGATTGATAAGAAAGTGTTGACTAAAACTTTTCGGTTCTGTTTTAATTTATAGCAACCATTGTTTGCTAGCATGTTTTTCCCCCTGTGGGGTGGTAGTTGAAAAAGGATTGTGAGGACTTTATTAAACTGTTTGCTGGATCATTTCATCTGGAATTGAGGTCTTTTCTAGGTGACTTGGACATCTAGAACCTACTGACAGTCATTCATCTTCCTCTTATATTTAGTGAAGCATTTTCCGCCAGTTACAGCTTCACCATGGTCGATCATTATAATAAAACAGTCTTGAAATGTAATAAGCAATGACTTAAGCTCCTGAATGTGTAACAAATATCATGTTTGTGAGTGATCTTAGGAAGCAGTGTCACCTCTCAGTGGAAAGGTGGCTGTGTGGTTGTCCTTTTGTGGCCAATATTAGTGCAGTTAGGCCCTTGTGCAGTTGAAGCTGCTGGTCTCAAAAATGAATTATTGAACTGAGGCTTTCATCGCATATTCAAAGAAATACAAAGAAAAGGGATGGACCTGTTTTTTCAAGTACTGTTGATGTTATTGGCCTAGACATGTTTCCTTTATTGGGTCTGTTTTGCAAGCCTAAATTTGAGCCTGAAGAGTTTCTCCATATAAATGTCTTAAGCATTACAGTGGCACATCCATCACCTTTTTGCTTTTGAATTACAAAGATAACCTTAAGATATGAGCCTTATACTGGGCAATGTGATACATACACAGAAAGAGTGAGCCTCCTTAGTGATGAAATCAGCCAGTGCCCAAGAGGAAAGTAATAGGCAGAAAGGATAGAGTTGATGAAAAAATTGATTCTTTTCCATTAAACTGTACGTGATGTGTTTTTTATGAAGCAGGCATCAGCAGAAAAAGAAATATTTTTTAAACTAAAAGAGATTGATGGTGAGGGAGAAGAAAAGTATGTAAGGGATCAAGAGATAAATATGTGTCTTATTCCATTACCATCTCAAATAATGAGAAAGTTGAAAAGCATTCCATTGTAGTTACTTCAGATGTTTACTTGGACTTGGTTCTATTAAAACTTTTTAATATTAATAATAGCTCTTTTTTTTTTTTTAAGTGCATTTTGGACTTCACACATCATTATTTTCTGAACACTAAAACTTGTGTTGTTTATTTTCAGGATTACCCAAGATGCAGGTCATTAGAAACTATACTGGAACGCCACCCCCTGCTCTTCATGAAGGACCACCATTATACATCCAGGAAGGGGACACAGTTGAACTTCTGAGAGGAGATGCACACAGTCTGTTTTGGCAGGTACTATCCAAATTACAAATTTTTAGATTTAATGGATGATTTATTACTGCTTAGAGAATAAAGTTCTTGTCTTTAGACACTAATTGCACGTTTTCAGCTTCAGAAATTTTACATGATTAGGGGAAAAATTATTTTATATTAGCCTTCCCCATATTTACCAATGCCAAAGTGATAATGACTGTTAGAATACTAAAGAAAAATAATATCAGTGCTATGAGTCATAATTACTGTTTTTATTAAAAATTCATAGTTTGCCAGAGAATTTTTTTCCCAAACCAAGGGCCTGTGGGTATGATCTAATTTGCATGTCTTTAATATATTAACATTTCACTTCAGGGGAACTACCTAATTAGCTTGCCAGTGGCCATTTCTTGCCATATTTGATTTGTGCCTACCCACACTAATACCTGAAGGTCTCACAGGTGTAGGCATTGTTCATGAAATATATGAAATGTGAAAAGTAAGTGAGCATGTTGATGTTTGCTGGTGATAAAATCTCTCCTGGCCAATAAGCCTATCTTTGTTTGAAGGATTTTTTCCAACTGAGGTAAATATGGTATCATGTTAAGATTTGATAAAGCTGGATGGTAGGACATTGCTATTCATTAAGTTATTCTCTATTTTTATGTGTATGTTAGAAATATTCTCCATCAAAGTTAAGAATTTCTTAAAAATATATGGTGCCTTGAGGGGAAGGGGAGTGGGAATCAACAGAAAGATCAGCATGAGTGAAATTTGGCTGGAGGTAAAGAGAGAAAAGTGAAAAGGACCACTAGATGACAGTCCATTGTACACATGTCTACATGATAGCTATTTGTTTGCTTTGAACTATTTCATTGCCTGCTATCTTGTTACAGAAGAATGCCCTTACACTGAGCCTTCATCTCCAACCACCATTTCAATTGTAGTAGACAGTGACTTTTCCAAAGCTCTACCACTCTTCTTAAGTATCCTACTCCTTTCATACCTCATCCTTCCCAGAAAAGGAAGAAAGAGAATAACAGACTTAATTAACTCTTCTGTCTACTCCTGCATCTTTCACCACAACCACAAAATGTGTCTGCATTTATACCCGTAAGATTCCTATTATTCAAGATTCATTTTCCTTCTTCGATTTTTCATCCCATATTTCATAAGTTGGCTCTTGACCCCAAAATTTTCAACTTCATTCTCTCCACTGGCTGCTTTTCCTCAGCATATAAATATGCTCAAATTCCCCCATCTTAAAATATGTATAACTCTAATTTTTGTCTGGTTATATTAGTTCGTCTGTTTACATTAGTTAGTTGTAAGTCTGTCTCTCCCTTGGTCCTTCTCTCCCTCCTTCCCTCTGGACCTCCAACCCCCAAAGCTAAGGTAAGCTTCTTGAGAGAATAGTCTATACTCATTGTCATTACCTCCTTACCGCCTATTCAGAATTCAGTCTGCTGGAGAAACTAGTACTTGGATCACTAATACCATTTAAAGTATATTTTAGAAAAAGCTTTATTGAGATATAATTGATATATAATAAATGGCAGATATTTAAAGTGTACATTTGAGAATCAAGATAATAAACATATCCATCAGTCTCCAAAGTGTTTGTGTGCCCTTTGCTAATCCCTCCTTCCCATCCCTTCCTGATGCTCCTGAACTCCCAGGCAACCACTGCTCTGTTTTCTGTCACTTTAGATGAGTTTTCATTCTTAAGATTTTTATGTAGTACATAATATATTATGTATTCTTTTCTTGTATGGCTTCCTCACTGAACAGGTATCTAGTCATCCATGTTTCTGTGTGTAACAATAGTTCTTTCTTTTTAATATTTGTAGAATCTATAGTGATGCCACGTCTCTCTTTCCTGATACTGATAGTCTGTGTTTTCTTTTTTTTTCCCCCGATCAGTACAGCCAAATGGTTATCAATTTTTATTGAGCATCCTTGTACCATTCATTGAGATGAATGCTCAGTGGTGTCCCCAAAAAATATGGGTTGTAAATCCTAATCTCTATGACTGTTGTTGTAATCTCATTTGAGAATAGGTTTTCTGTTATGTTGATGAGGCAGGATTAGTGTAGAGTGTCTTGAGTCAATCTCTTACAAGAGATAAAAGGAGCATTTTAGGAAAGCAGAGATAGTGGAAGAGAGATGACAAGCCACATGAAGATTGCCTAGGAGCAGAAGCTCAAAAGAGACAAGGACCTTCCTCCAGAGCTGACAGAAAGAGGGAAAGCCTTAGAAAGAGAGAAAGCCTTCCGCTAGAGCTGGCACCCTGAATTCGGACTTCTAGCCTGCCAACTGTGAGAAAATAAAATTCTGTTGTTAAAACCACCCACTTGTGATATTTCTGTTACAACAGCACTAGATAACTAAGACAGAATTTAGTACCTGCAGAATGGGGTGCTGTTCTAACAGATACCTAAAATGTGGAAGCAGTTTTGGAATTGGGTAATGGGTGGAGATTAGAAGAGTTTTAAGGTGCCTAATAGTAAAAACCTAGGTTGCCTTAAAGAGACTATTGGTAGAATTATGGTTGTCAAAGGCATCTACTCTAATCAACTGTTGCATGACATCTGAGATCACCTTCTAAGTGATCTCCTCACCTCCAGAGTCTGTCTGCCCCAGCCATCCTCCATATCACTGCAAAGTTCAGATGCAATCATATAACCCCTTGAGGAAATCTTTCAGTGTCTTCCTTCTGGCCATACAGAATTCACACTTTTTAGCTTGAACGGAGACTTTGCGAATGAGACGGTCTGTGTTGCAGTCTCTGCCTATCTCCATCTCTCACCAGTTTTCCATACACTTATATATTTTTCGCCACTCAAATTCACCCCTACCTGCCTCTCTATAGCAGTTCACTTGGCACCACCTCTGTGAAGCTTTTCCTGTCCTATCTGTCCTCTTTTCTCTTACCCCTGTTCCGAGACACAAATAGGTAGAATTTCCTTATTTATTCCTTTCTTATAATAATGATGAAAACAATAGCAGCAACAACTAATGTTCATTATACATTTATTATGTACGAGGTAGTGTTCTAAGCATACCTGACATATATTAATACATGTACTACTCAGGAAGACTCTATGAAATGAATTCTACTATTATCCCCATTTTATAGATGTGCTGAGACCCTGTAAGGTTAAGTAGTTAACCCAAGGTAGCACAATTAGTAACTTGGCAGAACTGAGATTCAAATCAAGGCATTCTTTCCCCAGAGTCCAAGCTCTAACCACCACACTCTACTTCTTCTCTTATAGGCATATTATTTATGATTAAGCTCATCTGTCCTCCTAAACTTCATGATTTGTAAGGACAGGAAAGTGAGGTTTATATGTTATATAAGAAGGTAGCTCTCTTTGTGCTAAAGAAGCTAATTTTAGAAATATTTTCATGGATTCATTTTACTACCACCAAATTTTGACAGTGTTTTATTTATTTATTATACAACAGTTGATTTTCTCTCATAATCCTAGGGGTTGACAAGATGGTTCTTCTGCTTCAAGTGTTGTTGGCTGGGTAATAGGAGAGCTGTAAGGTTCAAAATGGCCTCATCCATAGGACTGGCAGTTAGTGCTAACCATTCTCTGGAAACTCAGCTGAGGATGTCTGCCAGATGGGTCTCTCCAGTAGCTCCTTAGGCTTCCTCACAGCAAAGTGGTCTCATGGTAGCCAGGCTTCTTATATGATGGCTAGCTCCCAAGAGCCAGAAGCTGCCAGACCTTCTTGAGCGTTATGCCCTGAACTGGCTCAGAATTAGTTCTCCTGCATTATTCTATTGGTTAAAGCAGGTCATAGGCCCAGCCCAGATACAAAGGGAAAGGACTATACAAGCTGAGTACTAGGATGTATGGTTCACTAGGGACGAAGTAGGAAAAAAAAAAAAAATTGAAGCTCTCTGGGCAACCCTCAGTATATACTGATTTTATAGGCTGTTCCCAATGACACTGAATGCCAATCAGTTTCTCATAGTAGAGAAATTGACAGGAAGTAGTCAAGCCAACCACAAAATGTTGAAGATCTTGGTGCATATAAGTGGTTCTCAAACTATGGTATGGTTGAGATAACCCTGAGGATCATTGGTGTGGCCTAGCGGCAATCCTACAGACTGGCACAGTGTGCGCTTAGAGGTGTTTTACCTTTTTTAAAAACAGTCGTGGTCTTCGTATTTTCCTAACCAAGCCTTCTGTTCTTTTCCACTCTTGACTTTTGCCTGATTCCTTAGACTATAAAACTTGCTTGTGTAGTAGCATTTTTTTTTTTTTTAATTAGGTTTGGGTGGTGCTTTTGATTTTTTTCATAATGTTTTAGATTGATTATTTCATTCATTCCTCAAAGCACACAGTGTGGAAAACAGAACTATAAGTCAGGTTCCGTAACAACCAGTCTAGTACTCTTTTCAAACTGTACTGCTGCTTTTTCTTCCTAAACAAAAAGAAAGATGTTATTATTAGTCACTTCCTTTCAGCAGCCTGGAAACATGACAGTTTCTGGTATGATTGTAGAATGGCTTTGGAAGCTCTCAGGAGAATTGTAGGAGAAACAAAAACTATTGGATGACTGTGTGTGTGTGTGTTTGGGGGAAGGAACATGTAATAGTTAAGAACAAACAAGGCTAATGTCTGGAACAGGGAAAAACAATTAGCACATTTGTTTCAGATCAGCAAGCATGTATTGAGTGCCAGCTCTGTAGTCAGGACTCAGGACACTTGCTCACATTTCAGTTACCAACTCCAATTGTTGGTTTGTCATACAGTCTCCTGTCTTTAGAAGAATCATTCATTCTTGCTGGCCCCTACTTGTTTGAATTTTCAAAGAGATATTAGTATTTCTAATGAAAACATAGCATGAGTCAGAATTGTCTTATGGGCACCCCTAAGCCATCCAAAGGATTTGGAGCCCGCAAATACTAGCCTTATTGAAAGGAGCCATGGCAGAGTGAGAAAAACCAGATTCAAGAAATGGATCTGTAGCCAAATAGTTGTATGGCCTGGGTCAAATCACTTAATCACTACGTAGCT